AATCCCATACCACGGCCTCATCCCCACGTCACCCAGCCACGGCCATAATCCCATACCATGGCCTCGTCCCCACGTCACCCTGCCATGACCGTGATCCGATAGCTCGGCCATGCCCCCCCCTCCCATTATGATGCCATGCTGTGGCTGTGTCCCCTTGCTGTCCTCATGATGTCACATGGTGGCCTGTTGCCATGCCAGCTGTCAGAGGTGCCCCTTGGTGGGCACGTCCCTCCCCCCCCGCCCCGGTCTGGACCCGTCAGTTCTCACCTGCAGCAGGTATTGTGCAAGGGCGGGTGTGAGCGCTCGCCTCTGCACTTGAATATTAGGTGTAGACCAAGAGCAGCACCTCATAATTAACTGCAGCGAGCGGGCGTGCGTTGCTGGCCCATTGCTGCCAGCGTACAGCGGGACTGCTCAGACCAAAGTCTCGGGGTGCAACTGGGGGTTGAGGAGCTCCCCCCGTGGTTCCGGCACAGCTCACGCCACCCTGCAGCCTCCCAGGAAGATGCCTGTGCCCGGGGGACCATTGCCCTGGCACCCCCTTTGCAACCCTTTCTCGGCATCTTGCATCATTCCCCAGGGCAGGCAATGGACTAAATCCGCTTCTGCGGGAGTGCTGGTGACCCCGGGCACGCGTTGGCAGGGACCGAGCTGTGCTTGGACGTCTGTCTGAAACCCCTGCCCTAAATCCCCCGACGCCCAGCTTAGTTACCCCATCGCCTGGCACCGTCAGCCCACGCGGGACGTTGATGCCGGGCAATCTGCAGCTCTTGGCTATCCTTTCCCTTCCTTCTCGGAGGCTGGGGCTGGCCGGCGGCTCGCTGCAGAGGGCCTGGGGTGGCTGGATGTGTCCCCCAGCCCTTTGGGGCAGGATGCTGTGGGAGGTGGTCACGCTCCCCACCCTGTGCTGGTGGCACTGGGGAACATCGCTCTGGGGACCGGTTTCTCCCGTGGTGCTGTGGGCTCTCCATGCCCCTTTCCCAGCTTTCCTCCTCATCCCTGGAGAATGGTAGAGGCTCTTGGTGCCAGGCTTGGGGACACCCCCCTGACTGTGTCTTACCAGCCGTGGCTCAGGGTGTTGCCACAGAGTATGGGTCACTCCTTATTGCCGGTTTGTCTTGCAGCTCCTGGCCCTGGCACATGCCTTGCCCTTCCCGCCTGCCGGCATCCCGTGGGAGGCTGCAGGGATCCGGGTCCTGGCCTCTCATGACGCCGTGTCATGGTGGTGTTGCTCCGACACCTCAGCTCCATTCCCCAAAACCCAAACACAACCCCGGCGTGGGGAACCAGTTCCTGGTCCCAGGGGGACACAAATGGCAGCCTCAGGCCCTTGCGGTGGAAAAGCCGCTGTATCCAGCCATCACACCTGGGGCTGGGAATGGGGACCCCCAAAGCCCTAGGGGCGGGGGGGCGACATGTGCTAACAAGGTGCCTTCCTTGCAGGGGCTGGCTGGCCTGGTGCCCCCGCCTGCGCACCCTCCTCCTGGACCTGCTCCTCATCTACATCTCCGTGCCTTTCCTCATCCGCCTCTTCCCGGTCTTGCTCACCAAATTCGTCTTCCTGAATTTCTGTGAGTGCCCCGGGGCTGTTCCAACTGGGAGAGCCCCACCCTGGATTTCAGCAGGCAGGGGGCTAGGAGGGGGGGGGGGCCTCAAACTGTGGGTGGGGCTGCACCCAGCACCCCGGGTGGCACCGGGACAGCCCCTGTCCAAGCCCCCCTTTGCCATGGGCTTGCAGAGGAGGCACGGAGGGACCTTTCCCGTTGGCGCCTCGTGTTTTGCAAGCTGTAATAACCCAGTGCCACCGACCCTGTTTACTGCCTAAATTGCGACACATCTGGGCACGCGGAGCCTCAACGGGGCAAGAAATCCAGGTGGGAGGAGGTGGCAAAGGGCTGTGCTTGCCTACCCGCTCCCGGAGCATGGCCCTTGGCTTGCGGGCAAATTATTTCAAAAACGTAACACGTTGCTTTGGAAAATGTGCGGAAGCAGCTGGTTAGGAGGGGTTCTGAGTTGCCCGCGTGATGGTTGTGGTTTCTCCATCAGTGGCCTTCCCCTTCTTTGTGGACCTTCGGCGGCCGGAGCTGCTGCTGAACAACACCATCAGCCTGTACCTCGCCACCGAGAC